CACATTTAGAAAGGGATAGCCTCGTGGGATCGTCGGCTCTCTTTTTAATCAGAACCTACTCCGACAATCTCTGAAGATCTTCGGGAGAGACTCCGACTTACTTCCGACCACCTTCCTAACCTAATCGAAGATATCCGAAAGGTCTCCGGCCCTAACCCGAACCCTAACACGTGACCCTAAGCCCAGACCCTCATTTTCATGCAAACTCATTTGAATAAAAAAAACTGCACCAACGAGCGGATATCCAACTCATGTTGTAGTAAAAATCTTGCATTAGGATTGTGGTATTGTCAAGAATCGTCAACAAACAAACATATGTTTTTTAGATACAGATCATGATAGTATCCCACTTTTTTACCCCCAAACACATTCCACACTTTCTTTGCGTACTTTGATTGTTTTTGCGTTATGTGCTCGTCATTCAGTGAACTGTAAAACATCTTTCTGCGCTTCGATTGGATAGGATACCGTTCTCAATGGATTTTTCACTTTCGGTGCAGGAACTAACGCCACTCGAAGTGACCGTTTCAGGCATTTGTTGACTTTTCTGTTTTGTACATTGATGATTGCCTTTATGTCTTGTAGCTTTTTGGGGAGTTGCATGTATGTTCTAGCAACAAGTGGATCATATCTTGACATGTTCACATAAGCCTTTTCTCCTTTTCAAATCTTATGTCTGACCCGCTTTTGATGCAAGCCTCAATTTTAGTGTTGACTTCGTTTATGAACTCAATAATTTTTTTTTCAATTTCCTTTTTGTTTGCTCTTTTGGTTTATTTTTGAAATATTGATGTATGCGCATTGTCTATCTTTTTCGGTATTTGCACAGAAAGGGAAAATTCAACTTTTATCATGCCTAACGATTGCGTTTCTTTTTTTACAACTAGATCAACAAACTTTCTTTCTTTTCTTTCTGCAAAACGGAAAAAGGTGCATCCATTTTCCACACATGCAACCACTCTCCGAACTCTGTTCATGCATCCCAAAAATGGATTCTTGCAAGTGGGTGAGGGAAAGTTTCATGGTTGATGGGGCCGTAAAGCATCTGCAGAACATGTTTTCGAGAAACGTTCGAAAGCCATCGAATATTATTATATTCTTGAAACTGCGTATCTCAAATTGGGTTTTGTTTCACACTCTAAACTACAAATCAACCAACAAGGCATTTGCCGGTCAATTGTGATTCTCTCGTCTGTAACAGACAAAAAGAAGCTGAAATTGTTGGTAGCCCTGACTGGTTTTGCTCCTCGACAAGACTTAATTGCTAGCGGTTGGTGAAGCGTAACCTTTCTAGAAATGCAAAAATCAAAGGGTTAACTCCCGCGAATGATGTTTTCCCATTTTTGTGCCCTTGAATAATAATAATAATAATAATAATAATAATAATAACATAATATTACATTCCTGAGCGACCCCGCGTTCCGATATACGACCAGAAAAAAGTTTTTTTTTTTAAAAAAAAAAATTCTGTTCAAACTTTTTCGGGTCGCATTGGAATTTTGGGGTCGAGAAATGGAATGCGGAGGACGCTTTGGAATGTGACATACGTCTTCGTCACTTGACCGCTCTATAGTTAGTGAACCTTCTCACTCTAGTTCTATGCAGGAGAGCCTATTACTCCGGTCAGCTGTCAATGAGATTGACTCTATTGTCTTGATTGTGTCTTCCAAAATGTGGCGAACGGCTTCTCGGTAAAATGTTCTCTCGCGCATCTCCGGTGTGTATCGCTCCACACTCACCCACTTCTCGAAGAGGCGTTCTTTCGGCATCAACTCTTCGTACGAATCCACAAACTCCTACCTGTCCCCGTAAGTTTGTTGAAGGTGGCTATAGCTAATAAACTCTTCGTCGTCTTCATCAAATACGTTTACAAAACGTACGTTGGCGTATACGGATGACTGGGCGCATGTTCATAGTTAAGATAAGAGTGGGCGGTCATGTGGATGAATACATACACCTTGTACATCATTTGTCCAACACACCGTTATCGCCCTTAGCAAAAACCTCCGCAGCCACGCCGCAGCCACGCTGCTGCAATGCGAAAATTCTGTTACCCCGGTGGTTTGAACAACCTCTCCTGGGCTAGGTGGGTTATCTGCAAGGACACACTTAAATTGGAGCCTCGCTCTGTTGTGTGCTCCGCATCATATGGTGGAAGTGATTGAATAAATAAATAAAAAAATAAATACAGCCTCAGCCAGCTGTATCAGGACAATCACCTTCGATAGTACTGGTGGTCAAAATTAAATCCATCGCAAGTATAAGCTATACGTTGTGACGACAACTTTGGTCGTTTTTTTCCATAAGGAATTAACAATGCATATTTTCCTTCCTCGACCCATTTAGCTGTCAGTTTCAGCATTTAAGCAAATTTGGCAAGAATAGATGTTTGCAAGGAGGATTGGAAGGTCTTCCCGCGAGCCTTTGCGAAGCAGGTTTTTGTCATGTTCATATTTTGGGGGGAATCAAGAGCGTAGAGTTGAACTTTTTCGTGATTTTGGTGTCGTTTCTCATCATTTTTAACTCGAGCGTTGCATTCCTCTCCAATAGCTTTATCTTATCTAACAGAGAACACTATGAGGCGAACAAAACCCATGCGATGGTGGCCAAAGCATGAAAACCAAGCTGAGGCGAGGAAAACTCAACGCAAACAGCAATCATTTCACTGTAAAACTTAATTGATTGATTGAGAAATGTTAACGATAATTCTTTGGATAACGTGAACTGTGCTGTCTGCATATCAAAAAAAATTATACATATTAAGCTTAATACATAGTGACGGATAACAAAACAGTGCAATTTTTCCTGTACATGTCGCCTAAGGCTTCATCAAGACTTCGACAAAGCAGTCACAGGCGGCTCGTCCATAAGCTAATCCATGCCGGTTTCGGTGGCAAGCTGCTTAACTGGTTCTGCTCTTACCTGTCAGGTCGACGCCAACGCGTTACGATACTCGGCGCCACTTCAGAGGATCTTCCCGTTACCTCTGGAGTACCTCAGGGTTCCATACTCGGACCAGCCCTCTTCCTCTTTTCCGTCAACGACCTTCCCGAAGTCATCAGTTCTAGCAGTCGGGTAATGATGTTGGCTGACGACACAAAAATCTTCAGAGAGATAAAGACTTTAAGGGATGCCTTTTCCCTCCAGAAAGACCGTGGGAAGCCTGCAACTTGGTCTCAATCATCTGGTCTCCTTTTTAACGAAGCTAATTGCAAGGCGCAGCACATAACAAGGAAAACAAAGCCGATTCGACAACACCGCACTTGAATTATATGCTCCAGAAAAAGATCTGGACGTATGGATTACTAAGGATCTGACATGGCACAATCAAGTAAACTACAATCTTCGCGTGCTAATAAATTACTTGGATACTTAAAGAGCAACACGAGGGAACCGAAGTAAGACGAACGCTATACCTAGCCCTAGTTATGCCACATTTGGGATATGCCATCCAAATTTGGGCCCCGCAGTCCATCGAGCTCATTGTCAAGCTTGAGTGTATCCAAAGACGCGCGACGAAGTTTATCTTAAAACCGCCTTATTCTCCTAATATAAGTTATAAGTCTCTTTTACAAACTCTAAACCTAACACCTATTTGTTACTGGCATGAACTTTTAGATTTAACCTTCTTTTTTTTCAAATTGACACATGGTCTTATTATAACGTGAACTCCTCTGTCCTACCTGAAGTTCGCAAATACGGTAGACGCGCTAGATCCTCAACCAGCAATTTTAATATGAGCTGGTCGACTGTAGCTTCCTTTAAATCGGCTATTTTTAATTATAATAAGTCAGCGTTAGCTGTTTCCTAGGATTGTGAAGACCCACGTTCGTTCAAGTCTATCATGGTGCTCGTCCAATATCGTGTTGTATGTAGCTGTGGTATTTCTTGTCTCGGTGTGTTTTTAAATATTTCTTGTTTATTTTTATTCTTATTATTATCGTTATTATTATTATTATTATTATTATTATTATTATTATTATTATTATTATTATTATTAGTAGTAGTAGTAGTAGTAGTAGTAGTAGTAGTAGTAGTAGTAGTAGTAGTAGTAGTAGTAGTAGTAGTAGTAGTAGTAGTAGTAGTAGTAGTAGTATCCGGGCCCGCTGTAATTGGCCACAGCTGTTGCAGTGTCCCTGCCAACGTTCTTTCTGTTTGTTTGTTTGTTTTTTGGCGAAGCTTATAAAATAAAAACATAAAAATAAGTCAGGGTTGACTACGGGTACATATAAGTTAATAAACCAAGAAATTAAAGCTAAGGAACTCAGTGGACACTTTAATATCACAGTTATTATATATGCACTACTATGAGTATTGTCGATGGATAATATTCCAAAAGAATCGTCACTTTCTGCTGCGCCGAGTGAGAAAGTGACGCATGCTTCGCTCCACAACCGCCTCAGACAAACTGATGCGAAAAGAAATAATATCACTTTCAGGCAGGGTGACTGGTCTTAATGAACACTTTCCTAAGCTCCAAGATCATTGGAATAATGATAGACTACCTTTCTTTCGATTCCTTACGCGAAAATCAGCGCCGTTTGTGATGCGACCTCGATGAAATCAACAGTGTCATGTTCTGGTGACGTGCGCTAGAATTTTGATAATATAGTTGCACCGCAAAGGATTGTGGGAAGACCTTTCAATCCTCCTTGGATGCTTGCAAATTAAGTTACCCCATTTTGAAAATGTCTTACCAATCCCACCAGATTTACACAAAAAAAAACCTCCTAGGAGTTTTGGGGAATAATTCACTGCCAATTTCGCTGTTTACATACTACTCATTCCAGATACTAAGGTAAAAATAATGTCTAATTCACCAATAATTGGCACACAATTATTCCTTTCATTTTTCCTCTTCCTTTCACCCTTCCCCTCTCAGTTTCCTCTAGTCAGTTTCTAAGTTGAAACTCGACACGATGCTTCTATGCCTCTTCGGCTATAGCTTTATTGCATTCTTCAGTTGAATGATTTGACAAGGATTGTTCGCCTCAACTAGCTTATGGACAATCTTTTATCACTTTGCAGACAAACGGGAGCTTTGGATTTTTATCCTTCGCCTCCCATGAACCATCGTCTCCGCTAATTGAAACATAGTTTTCATTGTCGGTGACATCTGGTTCCCAATCCCCGAAGTCCAGCTCAGTGCCATCGGTCCAGACCCACGGTCTGTTTCGCACGGTCTTCCTCTTCAAGCCAATCCACGCCTTCGAACCTGATCCAACCAGTTTTCTTACATCTTCATTTTCCTTCTGATTATGGATGCTGGCTAGGTGACCTCTCCTGTTTTGGCACTCTCTTTCAGCTTTATGTGCCTTCATGGGGATTTCAACAAGCTCATAACTCGCGAATTTAGCTGCAAACGAATAATACAGTAAGTAACGTAAATTAGGGAGACTTAAAACTCACCGTCTTCACTTACCACTGTCATAAATTCACACCAATCCTTTAAGTACCGTAGCCAAATTCAGTGTAAATGCCATATCAGACATCTTAAGTTTTACTTTCCCTTCATTAATTTGAGATGAGACACCTTTACTATATATTATACGATTTTTTTTTGTAAAATGCTATACACTGTTGCCACTGAACTTCTCATCATTGTATCATTTCTGCACTTCATAAAGCACTTTTATTCAGCGGCAGGTTAAACTGTAAGGGACCTGGTTGATTTCCTCAGACTAGCTTTTTCAGCAAGAAAGATTAACTCTTAACAATGAAATATAACAAGAATGTTGATATTAATGGGTTATTCTTTTCGTGAAAAATCGAGCCGATTGTTATTGATCTTCTTGGTACTAAAACTCATCAAAAAGTGCTAGTCCGATTGTGTTTGATTGCCGAACCAATCGACCAATTATAACTATTATTATATGGCTGAGTCCGCGAGCGGGCGAGATGAAGCGACTACGTATACGCGAGGGGGCAAGAAGGGCCCATCTTGCCCACTAGGGATTTCCCGCGTTGATCCCGCAAAAAAAGTTCTCCTTTTGACCATACAATAAATATTTTATCGACCAACAAGCTTGTTCGGTCAAGGTGGCTGGATATTTTCCTCGTTCTTATTTTGCGTTTTTTATCAAAAAGGCAAAAAAAGAACTTGGCCTATGCACAGCTATCTTGACCTCACGCTAAGTCAATAAGGCATATTTGCAGCTGCGACCCGTCCAGCCCATACATATATAAGCAGAAATCAACTGTCACATTTACTTTACTAAGACACGGGAAATGACGATACCAAATCAGTTATATACGCCATCCATATAAAGACGAATTGACTGCTAGCAAAATAGGGCATCCACTGACAAGTATCACATGACTGTCTTGCCGGCTCATGTAGGCTTTTCCTGATTGTGCTCGTAAAATGCTGGAACGTTGCTACTAAAATGCCAAAAAATCCAAAACGTTGCTTCCGAAATTTCTGGATATCTATCTATAAACGCCAACTTTACGTTTCAAGTTGAAGCTTCATTTTTTGCTCTTTTCAATAATTGCGAAGAATGTAAAAAAAAAAAAGGTACAGACTTTCCTTTAAAAATATGGGAAAAATTTTAAAGAAAACTAATTAATTATTCATAGGCAATTATTGCCCTTTTACGCCTGCCAAACGTGGGCAAGTTAGAGATTGCGTGTTACGTTGAAAAAGGTTGCTAAACATTTACCAGAGAGGGAAATCCTCTTTTGACATTTAAGAAATTCCCTGAATTATTATTATTATTATTATTTATATTTTATGAAATCGTCGACTTGCTCAAAAGTTGCCGAGCACAATCGGGACAGGCCTAAAGGCTCATGTGAAACGCCAGCCGTTTTTTGCCCTGCATGTAAGCTGATTTAAAATGTAACGCTTACCAACATAGAAATAAATCAACGCTTTCAGGGGTGTCATATGCGTAAGCCAAATTGACAGCTGTCAAAATGGAACAGACCACTATCGCAAAACTAACGTGGTCTTTAGTGCACAACAAACCATTAAGCTGAAGTGAAATGACAACCTTACCCACACTAACTGGTTAGATTGTCGGATCCGCAGTCCGTTGTAAAGCATTCGCCATCCTTATGAACGTGAATTGACAGTTATAGAAATAGGAAATCCGCTGGCCATTATCACGTGACTGTATCACAGGCTGTTTTTTAAAATTATTTGATTATTTGATTTTCCGCTGATTACTTGATTATTTGATCGCTGGCTCAGTTCTTGATTTTAATAAGGCGAGGTTATTTACACGCGTGGTTTGTGTCAATAGGTTAAATGGGCAAAAGTATAGATTTATTGTCTTCTAAAACGCGGTTTCCGCCAGCCCCGTTACGAGTATGTTTTTGTTCTCCTGGACAAATTATTTGAGGAGAAAACATCAAAGAGAATTACATAGAAGACCTCGGAAGACAGCGGCAGACTTTCTCCCGATTTAATCACGGAGCAGCGCCGGCCATTGTGGTCTGGTTAGAGCAACCGAAATATAATTTTACAATTTTGTGTTCATCGCCTGTATTAGAACTCTCCAAACTGGAGAAAAAGAAAACAACATCAAACTTTTTTCAAGAAGAATCATAAGCTAAAATTTGAGGTCAGTAATTCAGGAGACTCCAACTTAATTGTGAGCCAATTTTAGCATTTCAACCTGCTCGCGTCGCGTCAGAAGTGGCCGGATAATTCTTGATTTTTGATATGTGTAGTTTCAATCATTCTCGCTTTTAACTGAGTAACAAAATAAATTTACTTTGAAGCTTGGATTTGGCGATAAGAGCAAATTTTCTAACAATGGTATTTTTGCAAATTGTCTTTCTGTTCGCAAAAAAATCGAGCGATTTCTACGAAAAACGCCAATTTAAACAATTTTGAAGGGCAGTAATGTTCGATTATTGATAAATAAGGTACATAAATTTCAGGCTCGTAACTCTAATGCTACTTGTGTGATTCCCCTCCTGTGCACAGAAGAAAATTTGCTGGCAAAATAATAAATTAAACTGATTTATTTACAAAATATGGCATTTTGTAAAAACATACTTGAAAGATATAAATCGGCAACTTGCTCCAGTGAGGCTACTCCTTTGTCCATATGCCGCGCTATTTTGCTGGTATTGAGCTTGCTCTTTTTCCGAAAACCAACCCAAATGTACCGAGGTTTCGAACTTTGCTTTCATTCTGCCTGGGCATCCACGTAAATGAATTCATTTTGAATGCCTCCACCAGTTCTAGGTCGACAAGTGGAAAGCGTTCAATTTTTTTGCGAACAAAGAACAGTTTGCGAAAATAGCATTGTTAGAAATCCAAGCTTCAAAATAAATCTCAGTTATTCAGTGAAAAGCGAGAATAATTGAACTTACACATATCCAAAACTGAGAATTATCCGGCACTTCTGACGCGACGCAAGCAGGTCAGAAAAAATACTAAAATTGGCTCATAATTAAGTTGGAGTCACCTTAAGGGGGAAAAAGGGGAAAGTAAAGAGGTTCCAGTGTACTTAGCTGAGTACAAACCATAGTCCTTTCTTTGGTAGTAACAGTAACGCATTTGGACCCTCTGATTTGATGTCGTTCCATCTGGTTTGATGGTTCCTTCAATGGCTGAATTGACCCCTTCCTCAAGGGGAATATCCGCTCCGGTTGTAATTTCTACTTCTGTTAATTGGGCACCACAGACCTTTTGACATGGATATCCCTGAACCTTCATCAGTATAAACGGATTTTCTGTGGAATTCAACATTGCAATGATAATTGGATTAGCAAAAATTATAACCTCTTTAAACAATATAAGAGGATGCGACGAGTCAAGAGCATGGGACAAAGAAAAGGTCTGAGTATACACCGGTCGGATACTCTAACCACTGAGCTACGAAGGAATCATAGCGAGCTGGACCATATACAAGGTTCATGCATACGAGACTTTTTGGACAGGTAACATTTTTTCACTTTCCAATATGTACGGTTACACAAAATTTTAAAGTTTTTTTAAGGCCTTTTTCTTACTTTAGTACTATAAGCGAAATACTAGGCCGTGAAGATGCCATTTGAGCTGTCCGATGAAATTGTTGTTCAGCCACTGTTGAACCAGTTCTAAGCACTCAGCTAAGACTCGCTGCTACCAATCGATGTGTATAATGTTTTTTTTTTTTTCATACCTAAGACCAAGTATCTATTTTCCTGTCTCTTTGTAGAAAATAATAAAGTTGTCTTAAATAAACATCCATTATTAACGTTGCGCCGCTGACAAACGACTGACAAACTCACTCTAAGGATCAACTGATTTCAAATCCTCCATTTTGGTAAATCTAGGGGAAAGGTACATTATGATGCAAAAATGATAAAAAAAATTGATGAAAAAGATATCGACAATATGGAGTGCTGTTAATTTATGGCACACTCTTATGGTAACGGCTCGCGGCCGCATCTGCTGCTTAAAGGTTGTCCTTGAATAGGTCTTGCTGAGTTTCGCTCTCTCCTCCCTATCTTTAAAAGCTAGTAGATCAATTCAGGTAACCTCGATGCAGCGACTGCAGATGTTCAAAACATGAGGATCTTTTAAATTCACGAGTGGCTTGAAGGGACCTTTGATTTGGTTATTTGGCCCTCTACATCTCCTGTGCAAATGGATACGCAGGGAATGTTACTTTAATTAAATAATGATTTTCGGAGAGCTTCAGAGAACAGCTGCCCCAAACTGACAGACAATATGTGATATTTGGCAAAGTCAATTTGTAGTGGTAAATGTTTTCTAAATGCTTTGTCGGACGAAATCTTATATTCTACAGCATAGCTTGCTGAGCTGAGAAAGTTTTGAATAATTTATCAATATGATGTTCCCAGGAGAGTTTGTTGTCTATTAAGGTGCGTTCCTTTTGACCAATCTAAATCCGGATTTTGCGATCCGAAATGTGAGTTTTCGTTCTATTAAGGACTAAACCAATCTTAGATTGCAATCTGAACGATCCACCTCTGCACTTGGATCGTTCAGATTGGTATCTCAAGCTGGTTTCAGGTTTTTGTTCCATTTAACGAAACCGCTTTTTGATCGCAAGAACGTGCTCTGTCATCGATAAACATGGCGGGTCAAGGTTAGTTCAGGCAAAAGTTGTTTCTACTCCTCTGTTGTTCTATGCCACTTAAGGATTGTAGTCTATTAATCTCAAGTTCCACTGTAACTATAAATCCGCAAGGAAGTGAAGACACTTGGATTTTCTCACTGTAAAACTATATGTCCAACGTGTGTGTGTTTTTAGAGCGCGCTTCTCGGCACTTCAATTCGTAACTGTCCTCTGAATTACCCTGGATAAAAATTCCACATAATTTTAAGTTGACAAGTCCCAGTATGAACCACCACTAGTTAAATTGCAACTTTTCTTTCCATTTCTCGACAAGAAGACGGTTAATTTATCCGAAAGAAATAAAAAACGATGTGTCGAAATTGAGAAGAAGCAGCTACTGTATAGATCCTGACAATCTTATTTCAGATTTTTGTTCCAGCTATTACGAAAATCTAAACGGAATCTAACCTAGTATTAGCCTAACGATTCACCACTTTTGACAGGTAGCTAAAGGTCTATAACGAGGGTTTCCACAACGCACTTAATGAAAATGACCTTTAAATTGCTTTCTAGCGATAATCAGAGCTTTGCATTTCTTAGGGTGTATGGCAAGTCTATTTAATTCATACCCCGAACAGATATCAGAGAGAACATTTAACGATTGGGAAAGCAGTGATATCATCTGAATAGAGTTGTAGGTCAGGCTCCTTTTAAAGCTAGTGTTCTCTAAACTAACTGGTAACAAGACATATGGACAGGTTAGTTAGCTCGGATCCGCCCTTTACTCTTTGATTTTGACTTAGACATTTGGCTTTGGGCCCCTCAAAATACCGGGACTTTCAAAAACGGGAACGTGGTCCTCATTTACCCGCTTTATGTCGCCTGCTAACGCACAAATTTGGAAAAGGCAGCATTATTGACCGGTTATGGATGGTTCTGTGGACGGCACGCGGTGGATGACGTCGATGTCGTCAATCAATGATGGACTGAATATAATTATATACTTAAAAGTAATTTAGCCAGTTTTTGCTGTTTGTTCAGAGGTTTCTTGTTTGGCGATCAAGGCCAAGGACAACACAATAATCTTTACGTTGACCGAATTGATAGCTGTAAAAGCGTTTGATTGGCGGTTGATTTCGCTGCTCAAGCTTGTTTGGTCATAAGCATCTTAGACACCTCCAGCTTTTATCTAATTCAGGCAGCTCCTCTGTTTGTACTTTTTTGAAACGCCAAGTAGACATCATATTATGCAGAGACACAAATTTCGCCGCGCTCGGCAACAGGGCTTCGCCGCCACAATTAACTTAAGCAGTCCTGGCCATAACCATTTCTGGTACTCGATAACGTCGTCATTAATGGCTTTTGGTGCCCACTTCAAGGAAACTTATTTACCACTCTTATTTGAGCCTTCGCGGGTTTATCGCCCAGTTAGATTCCATGAAGCCTTGCTAATTTAAAGGTAAAAAATGACTTAATACAACAGAGTCGCCTCTCTAAAGTTAGCGTTTTCAGCCGGGTATGGAACATTTTTTTTCTTTGGTTCCTACAAAAGACATATTCAAAAACTAGAATAAATCTGCTTCCAACCTCTCAAAATTCCTGTCGAGTGCACGAGACTTAAGTTCGAGTGCACGGACGTTGAAAGTCTCGTTATGGATTGAACTAGGCGCTGACTCCTTTTATTTAGAGCTGTGAAAGAGTTGTGTAATCCTTACTTTGGAACTATTTGTATTGCAAGGCGTTGCAATTTTTGTTATTTATTGACCTTAAAATCCAGACAACATGGATTATTATTCCGTAGCTTTGAAAACTGCATTTTGATTTATAACACATAAAGCTTACATGTACGCTTGTGTTGTTGAGGTTCCAGGTATGAATAAATTCCCACTGTTGTCACGTTGAGAGGTCTTAAAGCTGATTTATTTCCTACATTATTTCCTGGGGATTTTGTATCTTTAAATCCAGGACTTAATCTTTCGTGTGATGCAGTTTAAAGCATTTTCTAATTTGGCTCTGGATAGTGGACCACGACTTTCAAATGACGAGTTTGTACTGGAAAGAATTCGCTTCACTCTTTAAGAGAGCGGGAATGGCAAGGCTTGTATGCTGAACGCTTTAAATTTATGAATTATAACTTATGCCGTCTTTCCTTGAAGCGTTTACTACCGAATTTAATTTGTTTTGGCTGATGGACGCAAATGCTGCCATCAAAAACAGTTCAACTTCTACTCATTTCCAGTATCTCTCGGCCGAGTTTGTTTCGTTTTGGTTTTGACCTCAACCAATCACAACACACGAAACTTATATCCAAAATTGGTTATGGCCCGGACTGTTTAGGTCTCTCAACGTGATCACGACTTCCTTGTCAATTTTATCTAGTTGTCTTTCTAATTCAGAAACGTCACCCGATATTCTCTCAGTTTTTGTTCACCAGTTATGCAATGTAACATCTAATGTAAAGATAGTTTAAATTGATTTCATGTAAATGTACAGTCAAACAGTTTAATTTTTTCCTACACTCTCAGGAGTTAACCTGTATGATTAAAATCTTACCGAGTGGCAGATGAATTCCATTCTCGACAAAACCATCTTGCCTGCAACAGAATTCTATCTTCATGTGTCCGTTACTTTCATATGAACCATCTGGGAATGTGCCTTCCTTCTCTGGAGGTCCCGGAAAATTATAGGGTTTTTGTATTATCGAAGGCCATTCATCATTCCACATCACAGAAGAAGCCTCAAACTCTGGGGATTTAATTGATAAGGGCGCCTTTGAGTTTATCAGTTAAACATAACTGCGGTATTTAGAATAAAAATTCTATCTTTGTCACGCGTCTTAATATTGGGTGCTCTCTTTCCGCCTTGCGTCGGAATAGGGCAACATGCACATTGGGGGTGTCCCGGTATTCATTGAGGTTCAAACCAACCTTGGTTGACTTAATGTATCAATTGTTAAAGTGCTGGACTTGCAATCAGCGGCTGATCGATTTGTTTCACAGTGGTTCGGAGTTAAAATCCTTAACCGCGGTTGTAAAGAGCCAACTAGTCCGCCTGCGGCCAGTTGGGATTTTTTAACCTTGTTATGTTCGCCATTTGCTCAGCCCTACTGTTAGCCTTTGTACTATTAATAATGCCGAGAGTAAATGAAGGCATTAACATAATCATCTGCTGGAGTCAGGGACTTCTGGTTTTCTGCCTCCCTTTCTCACAGTGAATTCGTAAAATTCGTTCTATTTCTCCTACTTAAACTTAGTCTCACTGTTTGCAGGCCATTCGGCATAGATCACGAAGCCATGAGAGGGTTTCCTTTCGTTCCCCGACCTTGCACCTTTGTCGTTTCGTGATCGTCGAGGTTTCGTGATCGTCGATGTTCTTAGCTTAAAGCTTTAATTTTTTCCGTTTTTCATTATAGCGGTTTTCAATAAATCAGAAAAATAAAAAAAGGAAATTACTCCAGGCTTTGTATATCTTGTAAGATCGCTCATTAAATTAAAAGGTCACGCGTAAAGCTTTTTTTTTTTTTTTTGCATTTTCTGGCAAGTTTAAGCAAATAGACCAAATAATTCGACTTACTTTTCGGACATTTTGGGTCTCCAGAGTCTCTACTTTTTCTTAGGATGCAATATCTGCCACTCGGCCAGTCTTGACTAAAGTATTTGCTTCCAGGATCTTGTGTCTTAGT